GGCGGGGAGGGTCTGTGGGGTATCGGGGGGTGTCCATAGAGCATTGGGGACTGTCCACGGGCATCGGGGGGTGTCCGTGAGCCATTGGAGAGGGTCCACAGGGCAGCCGGGGATGTCCGTGGGGCATCGGGAAGGGTTTGTGGGGTATCAGAGGGTGTGCATGTGGCATCGGGGTGGAGGGTCCGGGTGGCATTGGGGACTGCCTGTGTGGATTTGGGGAGAGGCCAAGGGGCATCAGGGAGGGTCCACAGCCTCTAGTGGCATGTCCCGGGGCACTGCAGGGATCCGCAGGGCACTGAGGGGGTGACAGTAGGGCATCAGGGGTGGCAGGGGGCACATTAGGGAAGCCGCCCCTGGCTCTGAGAGGGGGGAGGGGCTGGGGTGGCTGGGCTGCCACAGGAGGCAGTGGGAGTGTCCCGTGGGGCACTGGGGACTGTCTGTGGGGTATGGAGAGGGTGCCCATGGGGCACTGGGGGAGGTGTCCATGGAGCACTGGAGGTGCCCACCTGGCTCTAAGGTGACGGAGGGGCCAGGAACATTGAGCAGTGTCCGTTGGACATGAAGGGGATGTCTGTGGGGCATTGGGGTGGCCCTGAGGTGATGCAGGAGCTAAGGGTGGCTGGACTACCAGAAGGCAGCAGTGGGACCTGGGAGGCATTGTCGGGTGCCGGTAAGGCGTTGAGATGATGGAGCATTGAGATGATGGAGGAGCTGGAGTCACCATGAGGGGCTGAGCTGTCAGGGGGCCTGGGGGGACCGTGGGACATCAGAGCATATCAGTGTGGCACTTGGGACCCTCCCTGATCCCAAAGCATTGGAGGGGCTAGGACCACCATGTGGGGCTGAGCTGGGAGGTGGACTGCACCCTGAGCCCACTGCTCCACCACAGAGCTGACTGCTGTCTCCCCCTTGTCCACAGAACACCCCAGGTTGGAAGGGACCTCTGAAGATCATCTGGTCCGACCTGTCATGGGGAAGGGAGCCTGGATGAGGTTATCTCACACCCTGTCCAGTCAGATCTTGAAACCCTACAGCGATGGGGACTCCACCACGTCCCTGGGGAGGTTGTTCCAGCAAGTGATTATTCTCACTGTAACGTATTTCTTAGGTTGAGATGAAACCTCTCCTGGTGCAACTCATTGCCCCTTGTCTTTTCCATGTGGCAACTTGTGAAGAGAGACCCCCTCCTTCCGCAAGCTGATTTTTTTTATACTTTCTTGGTGTTTCAGGCCAGGACCAGCCAGGAAACACCGCATCTAACTTTTGCATTTAATGACAGCGAATTCGGCTGTCGCAGTGCTTCGTCACCGGGGACAAGCTTCCTTCAAAATGGCACAGAAACCACTGCAGCCAAGTGCTGCTCCAGTGTCTTCCCTCTTTCTCCCCACAGCTTTTCTGTAATTCCCTCCTAAATAGACAAGTTTGTTTAAGAAAAAAAAAAATTAAAGCGCCATGCTTTGACCCTTGACATTCCTATTCATGTCTGGTCATGACTATCTAAACATCTCCAGTAGAGTTGTCCCCACCACGATGGCAACCCTTGCAAGGTGTGCAGAGCTGAGATGGCCTTGAAGGAGCTACTGACCAACCCACTGTCTATGAAGCACAGCAAATAACCCAGCTCACCAGGGAGACACAGAGCAGACAAATTGCGACTCTGGGCAAGGAGGTACCTGATTGCTATGCCGTGGAATGTAGGGCTGCTGGGTTCAGACACAGGACCTTTTCTTGCCCCTCTCCTGGCACCTCGTGGCTTCTGGTGAGGGGAGAAGACACACATCCACCTCCTGCTCAGGGCTGGCAGTAGGGCGTCTGGCCCAGACTGAGGGCTGCTCTTGGAGAAGAGTGGGTAGAGCTGTGTGGAGACCTATCCAAGCACCCCAAGCCTTTAAAGTAACTGCTTAGCCAGCCAGGCATCCACATGCAGGCCACAATTTTTGGGGTAACTGAAGTTATCTGTCAATGTGTTCTCATGCAAACAGCAGGAGCTAAAGGCTGGCATGATGCTGCCCCACCAGCATCACCACCTCTGCCTGGGGCAGGCATAGTGAGGTGGCCGCATCCAGCTAGCGGGCTGTCAGTACCTGGTGCAACAAGCAGGGGAGACCCAGCCCCGGGGTGTAGATGACCTCCTGGGGGCTTTCTCGCCCGGGTGTGGACCTGCGGGTCGCAGGGAGCAGCACAGAATCCCATAGAGGTGGAGCTCCCACGTCCCCACAGAAGGGCTGTGCAAGGAGGAGAGCCCCCCTCTCAGCAGAGGGGTGCCTTTCCCCCCCGAAAAGCTGCAAGAGGGGTGCACATAACCATCTGCATGTGTGCAGATGCGGGTGTGAGCAGGACTTCTTGGGATTACTCATAGATGGGTGCTTAGAAATTTGCTGTTTATTTTAAAAATTAACATTTCAGAAGTATCTATTACTTCTGCTGAGACTCAATGCTTTCTGGTTAATTATGTGTTATTAATCTATAAACAGCTTCAATCCTGATTTAATTTAAATTGCATGAACGGAGTTTTTTTCCTGCAACAGCCACCATGCTGCTCATTGGTGTAAAAAATGTGTGACCAACAGTGACACAGTGAGGTGCCAGGGGAGTCTCTCAAGCCCGAGATGTTGGGCACTGAGAGGCGAGCAGATTCCTCCAAGGACCTGCGCCCCTCTGCCTCTCCACCCTGAGCTCGAGGGACAGGCTGTGAAGCCTGTAGGTCCACAGAAACTTAATGGAAATAGCAGGTCAACTTCTCCAAGCCTCCCTGGACTGAGAGGCCATCTCAGTGGGGGGAAGAGGAAACTCCCTTCCCCATGAACTGCACAAGTCCTTTCCCTGAAGAGCCAGATGATGCTGGCTGAGGTCTCCGTCCTCAACCTCAACCTTCAGATGAAGGAATTCAGTCCTCCAGACCCAGGACTGGTGGTCTCCATCCTCTCCTTGAGTCTCTCTCCCTCTGCCAAGCTGGAGGACCAGCTATAGGCCACCAGAGCAAAGAGAACCTGGCTCTTCCCTCTAACGCACTCTAGAAGGTCCTTGCAAAGGAGGAGGTGAGGGAGAGGAAGGGCAGGTCATTAACAGGAGCACTCAGCCCTGTATCCACAGCCCTTGCATGTCTCCCCAGGTTCTCACACTTGCCACTGAGGCCTCTGGGTCTCTGGCACATGTCTTGGTTACCACTTGTTCTTGGGAGACACTTTTCTTCTCTTCCACCCTCTACCACACCCGCTCCCAAACTGCCTCAAGCAATTTTTATGGCTGCACAACTCTGCAAGATACCCTGAAAGTCTTCTGCTGAGGACTCGGCCAATATGATATGAACATCATGTACCTGCTCATCAGCTGTGAACCCCATCTCATTGGCTAGAGCAGCTGATCAGCTTCATTCCAGCAACCCCCCAGTTAGGTTCTCCTCCCAAAATAATGCCGCATGGCAGCTGAGCCAGATCTCTGTGAGCCGACCAAAATTTAGTCACCTAAAAGACTAATTTGCTTCCTGGGTTCTGTTAACAGACAAAATAACCCTGATTTTT